TCGAGGTTGAGGGATAAAACTAAAGCTTGAAAGGTGAGGATGAATATTCTTACCTTGGTAAATCCAAACCAAGCTTGTAGCACCATAAAGTTTTGATCTTTGGGAGATTTCTTGAAGAGGAAAAGAAATGATAATGATAAGATAGAAGACAAAGTTGGTGAAGCTAAGGAAATGTACCAATGTGAGATCGCCCAATTAATGGATGATCGACTTTTGTTTTAAAAAGTGGGGAAATTACCCTTTTAGTCCTATCTTCTTCCATCTTATTATTAAAATGCCCCTTCTTCTACCCAATTACCTCAAACCTAAGCCCAATTCAAAATTTGAATGGACCAAGCCTTCACATATATTAATTTATTTAATTTTGGACTCTCGGATTAGCCCGAACTCCTAACACGAGATTTGAGGTGTTACAATTAACCTTCTCCATAATCGAGCGCTTCCTCGGGATCCAAGTGTCAATCTAGAAATTGGTACTCTGTCTGTTGCCTAGAGACCAATAAACATTATCTCGAATAAAACACCAAACGTTGGATAAGGATCGCCACACGAAAGAGTAATTTCTCGAGTTATATTGTGTGGGAAGATAAGAAATAATTTTGTATTTAGAATGGTACAACTTAACCCAAAGGGCTTTAGGATTAGTCAGGAGGTTGTATCCAAGCTTGATAAAAAGGCTTCATTTTGGGTCCATAGGGGCCGCAGACCCAAACCCCTACAGGATATAGGTTGATAGCATGACTCCCATTTAACAAACGCCATCTTCGGATGCTCATTAATACCTCCCCAAATAAAGCGGCGAGTAATTTCTCAATTTCCTCACACACATTTGAGAATGACCACCGTCTGCATGAAATAGTTGGGGACAACTAACAAAGTGGATTTGGCAAGAGTGATGCGTCTCGCCAGAGATAACTTCGAAGCCACCTAGTAATTACCCAAGTAATTAGAACGTACTCTTAGTGATTCAGTTGTGGAAGAGTGGCATACCTAAGTAATTACCCATATTCAAATAGCGTTGAAAACACAACGTAGAACAGAAGTCGTTAGCGAGATTTTCAGGAACATTGTTGTTAGAAAAAACTTAAGTCTTGCTTGAATTGACTTTGTGTCCCCAAAATCTGTTAAACTGATCAAGGATAGCCCGAGTAAGAACTGTTTAGTTATTGATTGCCTTGCAGACCAAGAGGAGATCATTAGCGAAGAACAAGTGAGACAACTTAGGGCCTCCCCTAGATAAGACCATAAACTCTCACAGATCTAGATTATGAGCATACTGAATACTTTGACCAAATCGTTTCATACAAAGAACAAAAATATAAGGAGATAGCGGCCAACCTTGTCCAATGTCTTTGGTAGGTTTAAACTCCGAAGAAAGTGAGCCATTCTTGAGGATTTGTAAACTAGAAGTGACAACATGCAGGATTAGGTGATGCATCCGAGGAGGGCATCCCATATCCTCGAGGGAATCAGATATGAAGTCCTAGGCTTTTTTTCAAATCCACTTTAATCGCCATCAAGAGCGTTTTCTCTTTTTCTTTCTCATGGAATAAACAACTTCTTGAGCAACTAGGATATTGTCGTTTAAGCCCCGACCGGCAATAATGCTCACTTGATTTTGCGCAATGATCTTCAAGAAGATGACTTTGGATATGTTTGCAATGAGTTTCATGACCAGCTTGTAGAGGACAGTGTAAAGATTGATAGGTCAGAAGTCAGCAAAAGATTCAGGATCCTTCTTTTCTGGAATGAGAACAATCATCGTCTTATTAATCAATTGGTTTACTGTTAAAGATGTCCTTGACCCAAACATAGATTTACGGTCCAATGGTATGCAATTGGTTTTGGTAGAAAAGAGCGTTCGTACCATACACCCCGGAAACTTAAGAGGACTCATACCAAAGATGGTGGTTCTAATTTCTTCATTCGCGATCAGAGCATCCAAGCATCGAAAATCAGGCTCAAATATGGGAGGGAAAGCCTTCCTAGTCGGAAAGGAACTCGTGCAAATGCCTTCATCCTGATAGAGATTAGAAAAGAAACTAATAGCTTCGTCCCGGAGAATGTCATCATCATAACATCAGCCACCATCTCCATAGCCACCATCTCCATTGCTCAGACGAAGCCCTCGTGCCATCTCCGAGCAAGGAGTTCGACATCGATGACTTTACCGGAACCACCTCATGGGAGTATCTTTATCGAAGGAGCGGAGAAGTCACATGGTATGACAATTTCCCATACTGAAAACAACTCCAAGGTGCCGGTTTTCGTGATGCAGCCGCTCGACACGGTGACTCACGGAGGCAACTTGAATAAGCCGAGGTCGATGAACGCCAGTTTGTTGGCGTTAAAGAGCGCCGGCGCGGAGGGAGTTATGGTGGACGCGTGGTGGGGTTTGGTGGAGAAAGATGGACCTTTAAACTACAACTGGGAAGGGTATGTGGGGCTTGTGAAAATGGTAAAAAAACATGGCTTGAAACTCCAAGTTGTCATGTCTTTTCATCAGTGTGGAGGCAATGTTGGGGATTCTTGCAGGTAATTACTTAAACTTTTTCTGGTGTATCTGATTTTCCCTCGACTGATGAAATCTATGAAACTGAGATTTATGTGGTTGAATTTTTAGTATTCCGTTGCCTCCTTGGGTGCTTCAAGAAATCAGCAAGAACTCGGATCTTGTGTACACAGATAAATCGGGGAGGAGGAATCCTGAGTACATATCATTGGGATGTGACTCGGTTCCTGTTCTTAGAGGAAGAACACCTATTCAAGCTTACCCAGATTACATGAGGAGCTTCCGCTAGAGGTTCAGAGATTACTTGGGACGAGTTATTAGGATAATGTTGGGAACAAGTTTTGATATCATACATTTTATCTTTACTGCAAGATCTAGGACTTGGAGGTCAGAAAATATTGATGAAAAGCTGTAAAAGTAAAGAAAAAAAGTGAACTTTCTTAACAAATTGTAATTTCTATTATTTCAGGAAATTCAAGTGGGGAAGGGACCTTGTGGGGAACTGAGACACCCATCTTCTCCAGAAAGTGATGGAACCTGGAAATTCCCTGGAATTGGAGAGTTTCAGTGCTATGATAAGGTAAATCTGATGAACTTTCTCTTTCATTTATTGTGCATATACTAGAGCATAGATAACTGTACATAACTTGAATGATCAAAACATAGATTTGGTTACTTCCTAAACAAGCAAAAATGTTAAACTTACCGTACATGAGAGCTTCCCTGGAAGCAGCGGCCGAAGCCATCGGGAAGAAAGACTGGGAAAAAGGCAGTCCACATGATTCAGGCCATTACAAGCAACTTCCTGAAGAAACAGGTTTTTTTCAAAAGGGATGGAACATGGAACACCAAGTACGGCCACTTCTTCCTACAATGGTACTCCGGAAAGTTACTCGAGCATGGAACGTTCCACAGAACCAGCGCGAAACTATCGGCAAAGGGATTGGTCCGGCAAGTAAAGATGGCAACAAAGACGGCCAGCGTCGAACTCGCCAGAGAAAATGCACTCGAGAGATACGATGCCGGTGGATATTCACAGGTTTTGGGGACCAGTAGATCGGATTCGGGCAACGGATTGAGTGCATTTACATATCAAAGAATGAACAAAAGGTTGTTTGAAGGGGACAACCGGAGGAATTTAGTGGAATTCGTGAAGAACATGTCCGAAGGAGGTTGAAAGATAATTGCTAAACTACATATCCTATCTAAGATTAAGATCTTTGCTTGGAGAGTGGCACATGGTGGGTTACCGGTTGGTAAGCGGTTACGTGACGCTGATTTAAGTGATGACATTTGTCCAATGTGCGGCTTGGAAGAAGAGACAATAGTTCATATTTTACGGGATTGATTTTATGCCCAATAAACTTTTATTTGTGCAAGTATGCATGGTACGTTCTTGTCTAGCCAACTTGTTTTTCCATTGGATTGGTTAGATTTGGTGATTACTAACTTGGATCTAGATGGCCTTGCTTGCTTTCTTGTGTTGCTTTGGAACCTCTGGAATGGGAGAAATTCCAAAGTGCATGATAACAAGCTACAACCCTCATGGATACTGACCATCAATGTTGCATTCCTTCAGCACGACTACCTATTGGTCAGGAAGCAGACGTCGGGGAGAGCGAGGGATTGCGGACTTCTCCAGGAGTAGCTTTGTGTATTGATTAGGCGAAGTGGCAACCTCCCCCTCTAGGTTTTGTGAAGATAAAATCTGGATGCTGCTTTCGAGTCTATTGGATGTATAGCGACTGTGGGGATTATTGCACGAGATGCCGTTGGCCAAGTACTTGGCAGCATGGCTGCACCGTCACCAGATTGTGTTGAAGCTGGTCTTTCGGAGATTCATGCTCAGAATGCAGCACTTTCTTTGGAAAATGAGTATCGGTGGACACATGTAATCTTTAAATCAGCTTATAGTCAACAAGATATCTCGAACGGATGAGGACTTGTCCACATTGGGTTATCATCTTCGGCAAGCTTGTAGGATTTTGGATGCTAATTCGAATTACAAAGTGTGTTTTGTTCCTATAGCTTGTAATATCGTAATATCGTGGAACATACTTTGGCTAACTGGGATCTCCACTCTAGAAATACCTTGTACTTTGACTCAGTTTATCATGAGATTATTACGTCTGTTGTATACAATGATTTTTCTTCTGGTAATACAAGGTCCTAGGGCATTCTTTTCCCCTTATACGTCTTAGGAGTTTTTAATGAGGTTGGTTTTATTAAAAGAGAGAGAGAGAGTATGTTATATAAAATTAGCAAGAGGGACTTTTCTGTTGTCATTGTGCTTCAAAAGTTTAACACCCCTTTTAACATTGTACATATGTTGTTATAACAAACCCTTATTTAATTAGAAAGTATCCCACTAATTGCGCCACCAGCCTGAGAAAACGATTATCTAATACCGTAGTGGCCGAAATGATGGACCAACAAAATAGGTTTTTATTACTATTAATATTTCCTTCAAAAGAAGGATTCCTTTTTATCAACAACTTACAATGGCTGCTCTGATTTACAAAAATATGATTAGTGACTAATATAAGCTGTCTTGATTGGTTATCTGCTCAAGATCAGACCAGAAATTCGCTCGTACCGAACCTTATTTCGATCTCCGTCCACCATATCTCGACGAGGCCGTGAGAGGAGCCTTGTCGACCGAGGAACTTCGGTCGGATGATTCTTGTATTGCTTGCTTCAAGCTCTCTGCCACCTGAGTCATTGTTGGTCTTTCCTTGGCATTTTTGTTTAGGCAGCTATCGGCCAACTTTCCAACCCTTTGTGCTGCAGTCAAAGAATAACTGTTTCCAAGTCGAGGGTCCATTATCATGCCGAATTTTTTACTATCAGGAGGGAAATGTTTCACCCAATCTAAAAGCTTCTGTTCTGATGTTGGCCGGTTTCTTTCCACCGCTCGTCTTCCGGTGAGGATCTCGTAAAGTACCACCCCAAAAGTCCATATGTCACTTCGAATTGTGAGATGGCCAGTTCTCACATATTCCGGTGCAGCGTATCCGTATGTTCCGACCACCTTCAACAAAAACGAAAAGAAAAGAAAAGGAAAGACCTGTTTAGTATCCTAATGATAATGAGTGCCATATTATTGCTGCTAATGCACCACCACCACTTAATGGACTGTGGAGCCAACCAACAAGGGTGTAATGGAGATGCTTTGCAGACACTAAATTAAGTGAAGATTCATTAAGTGCTATACTCAAATAGCAGAGATATACTTACTGCAGTGGATACGTGAGTACGATCACCGGTCGGCCCTTCCCTTGCAAGCCCAAAATCTGAGAGCTTCGGCTTAAAACTTTCATCCAACAGCACATTCGAGGGCTTGAAATCTCGATATATCACCTTTGGAAAGAACAAATGGCAGATTAACTGTATTAATTGTAATGTAGAGTGAAGTGATGAAGGGGTTGCTTTTGGTGCAAGCCATCTGAATAAATGAAGATTGTACCTTCACTTCCAATCCCTCGTGTAGATAAGCCAAACCTTGTGCTGCACCAAACATGACCTCTAATCTTGTTTTCCAAGGCAGAGTAGGTGTCCTGTTGAAGAGATGATATTCTAAGCTCTGGTTCGGCATGAATTCGTACACCAGCAATCGATGGATCCCTCGTTCGCCGTCCACGGAACAATATCCTAAAAGTTTCACTAGGTTCGGATGATTAACGACACCGAGAAATTGAACCTCCGCAAGCCATTCCTTATGACCCTATATGAAGGTTACCAAATACACAATGAGAAACAAAAACCAGTTCTCAAAATAAAGGGAGATTCTAATGTTCATCATCACTAAATCTAGAGGGGCATCAATTTGTTTGCAAATTCTTATGAAATCTTTGTCAGTGTTGAATTTAAAGAAATGAAATGGTGTATGCAGCAGTTTTATTACCTGTAAACTCTGGGTGTTGAGCTTCTTGATAGCAACAACTATGGGTTCACCTTTACCATTTGGAGGGCTAATTGTTCCCTTGTAGACACCACCAAAGCCACCCTCTCCGATCTTTAGGAGCTTGTTGAAACCGTGCGTTGCATCCCTCAACTCTTGGAAAGAGAAAACCCTCAGGTTATGCTCTTTCTCTTTGTACAGCTCGGATATGCTCCTTGGAGATGGCAAAGAACTCGATGTCCGAGTTCGACTCAGTGCTGAATTATCCGATTTGCTTTGGTTTCTCAATTCTCTCTTGGTGTTCTTTGGTTTGTCCTTGATGAAGATGGAGAAACACTTCATTTCTATGTTTTAAAAAAAATCAAAACAAAAACTTTTTCCAGTTAAACTCAAACATCTTGTTTCACAAGCAGCAACCTTTACCAATCATCATCAAAGGAAAAATGAACCCACCCAAGAAGAAAAACAGAGATGGAAAATGGTGAAGGAAAAGCAAAATATATAACAAATGAATCAAAAGAAAGGGTAGACACAAGCAGGGAAAAGTGAAACCCCAGATTTTACGTTCGTTGTGCAGTGCGTGCTTAAGACGATGAAATTAAGGCGATGAAAAAGACGGGTCATGGTTCATGAATGAGAGAGAGGCACTGAATATTGAACAGTGGAGGGACATGAAACATTGGAAGAGACCCATTTTCTATTTTTTGACATTTCTACAATGGATGGGAACACTGACCGCGTACCGCGTTTTGTTTGGTTTCTTTATGGATCCCATACGAATTTATTAAGATAACAATGATTTTGCCCTTTCTTACTTAGTGACCTTTTTATTAATGGCTTTCTGGGTAAAAGTGTTCGACTTTACATTGTTAGGTTCATTTTTTTCCCTTGAATCGTTGTTTGAATGGAACTTTGTCCGAATAAAACCAAGGAAAACAGCAGAACTTTCATGGAAGTTCCCATTTCATATCTGTCTACGAAAATGAGGATAAGATTTAGGGTAGATTACTCGTATTTAAGCTATCGATTTTAATCCGTTTTAATATCTAAACTTTTACTTTTTTTTTAAATCACACATAAAATTTAGTTTTTATTTTATTTTAATAATTCGTTATTAAAAACTTTAGTTTTTATTTTGTTTTAATACACTGTTCAAAATTACGTGCAATATTTTCAACAACATGGCGTCTACCTTTTCATCCATTCTACACGGCTGACGCAACCAAGTCCGCATGAAGATTCACAACTTTCTTTCTTTATTATTTCCCTTCATACATTTTCAGACTACGTTCCCAGATTTGCCTTATAATTACTGCTTGACTTAACCTTTTTCATTTTCTTTCCTCGAAATTGGACTTTGGCATACTTTCTTCAACCTTTGACCTTACATCCTTTTCATGTTTAATTATTCACTGTTGATTTTGTGGTTGACTATCGTTTTTGACCGTGACTATGAAGAATCCCTGCGAAAAAAGAAAAAACATTCTGATTCAAGAATGTTGTTTCGAGTTCATATGGCAAATGAAATTCGATGCTTCTTTGGTCTACCATCACCTGAAATCTGACCCTGATTTTGTGGTGTTTTCATTAGTGCTTTTGGAGTACAAGATGTGGATCATAAGAATCCCGTCGATTAGTTTCTTTAAAAGGCTTGCAGGAGAAACCCTGTTTCTCGTTTGATTCTGTTGCGTTCCCTGGACGAGCCGTTCCTCACTTCAGATACCGGACAGCCAGAGATCCTTCCGATCCAACGACGGTATTTCTCTTCTTTCTATATCGGGAAAATCTTTCTTTTTATCAGCTTTGTATGTCCGTGGTTGTGTTTGTTTCCTCGGGAAAATGCTCTCTGTAAAAGTTGTTTGTTGGATTAGAGGGCCAGCCAAGCAAGTAGAAGAAATTGGAGATTATATTAACTCCTTTCTTAAGCTGAAGTAGAGTTTGTGTACTTGTTCTAGTGCTTGTATTTGTGTTGCGGAATACGGCTATCGGATAAAGTAAAATCGTAATTGATAATTTGAGAAAATAAAGATGAAGATAAAGAATACAAAAAAATTACGTGAAAAACTCTTAAATAATATAGGGTAAAAACCACGGGCAATGGTAGAATAATTTCACTATGAGAAAATAGAAATTACAACTTCTATCGATTTAACAAGGAGAAAACAATAACAATTCTCTCTTGATAAAAAGGAGAAAACAACTCTCAAGAAAACTCTCTAAATTCTCTAGTATTGGGAGAAAGCTAGAATGATTTGGGATAGTTTTGAAGCTAAATGAGTTAGGGTATTTATAGTTGAAGCTTAATGATTAATCTTGTAAATACCCTAAAGTACAATGACTAAATGTGCAATTTAATCATTCCTAATTTTCAACAAAAAATCAACCCTTTTTGACAATTTTTTTAGATGAAAATTTTTTCTTCTATTTTCACCTTTCGGTGTTGACTAATGTCATTTATTGCTGACTTTCAACAATCTCTCATTTGAAGATTTGATTGGAACAATCATATCTTCACACCATTCTTTCTATCTTGTACAATCATGTTGCTTACGTCTCTGACAGACCACAAGAGGATCGACACCAGGTAAATTTATCAGCATTGATTGCCTTCGTCATGAAATCTAGTATGTTGTCTTTGGTATGGATCTTCTGCATATCTAACATCACTTCTTCCACCTTTTCACGAATGAAATGGTATTAAACTCGTATGTGCTTTGTCCTTGAATGAAATGATAGATTACTTGTTAGATGTAAGGCGCTTTGACTGTCACAAAACAGAGAGACATGCCCTTGATTGTGTCCAAGCTCCTCCAATAGCATCTTCAACCAAATTATTTCTTTACTGGCTTGCGTAGCTACTACATATTCTGCCTCTGTTGTGGATGTAGCCACAACTGACTGCAATTTTGAAACCCTTCTTACAGCTCCACCAACAACTTTGAACACATATCCCGTAGTAGATTTGTTTTTATCCAAATCCCCTACATAGTCAGAATCGACATACCCATTGATAAGTAAGTTTGATCCTCCGTAATATAATGTAATATTTGAGGTCCATTTGATGTATCTCAAGACCCTCTTTACTGTATTCCAACGCTCTTTGCTTGGATTCGCCATATACCGACTAACCACTCTCACTGCTTGTCAATGTCTGGTCTTGTGCACATCATAGCGAACATTAAACTTTCCACTGCCGATGCATATTACACAATGATGTATGTACTATGTGCTTAATTTTCATTGTTTTAATTTGTATTGTGTTGGAAATTTATTTAGGTTCAACTGTTTGATTCATTATCAATTATGTTGTTTACTTTGCATCAAAATAGGGCATTTTTGCATAATTTTTCTTGCTTATATGATCGGTTCTCTTCATTGATTTCTTGATGTTGCAATGGCGGATGACCACTCTGGAAATATTTTCAGCACCCTAGAGTCTTACGTATATATCCTGCATGAAGTGGTTAAAATAAGGTTAATAAATGATGTGATGGTTAAGAAGGTGATAGATTAAAAGTGAACACATAATGTTGTAATTTGGAATCATAAAAATTATCTGTATCGATAATAATAACAGTTACAAATGAAAATGTTACTGTTGTATGATAAATGAGCAAAGAAAATATTCACTTTAAAATTTTAGGTATATAATTTGTAGACATACAAAAAAAATTATGAGATGGATACAAATAAAAATTAAAAATAAGCATAATTAATAAAATAAATAAATAATCGGAGAAAATTCAAATTTTAAGACGAGTCTCACTCTGAAATAAAAATTTGTCTTGCTTGATTATTTGGATGCTATTGTAAGCCAGCTATGTTGCATGAGAAGTTACACCGCGAGTCTTTATAAATAGGGTAAACTATATATTTAGTCACTCAATTATCATTTTGGTTCCATTTTTATTATTTAATTTTTTTTCTTCAAAATCATACCTAAAAGTTATGTTTTAATGACCTGCTGTTAAAAAATTAATGGTATTTTTGGCATGTCGCCATATAGTATTGTCATGTTATTATTATTTAAAAGAATAAAAAATTTATCATATCAACAATTCTATGTATATTTTAATGATGCATGATCAAAACATAACTAAAACATAATATTAGATATAATTTTAAAAAAATAATTGGATGATCAAAATAGGACTAACACGTTATTTGGGTGATAAAAATACATAATTTATCCTTATAAATATGTTTTATCTGAAATACTTTCCTAACTCGTTTTGTGCTTCAAATAAAGTTTTATTTGACTAAAATGATTATTATTAAAGATAATAATTATTAAAAATTTAATTTTATAGTTTTCTAAACTTTATTTATATTTTTTAAAATATTTATCTTTACATAATATGTATTTTTTTCACTTATAATATATCAAATAATAATCCATGATCTCGATGTAAACAGAGATGGAGGGAGGCCTGAGCCTTCTTAGGCTATGGCCCCTAATACCAAGGGAGAAAAATAATTCTATAATTTTATTAAAATTTTCTTAATTATATTTTTATTTAATCAAAATTAAATTAATTAAAAATCTGTTTAATTTTAAATTTAACTATAATTTTATCTCTTTAAAATCTTAAACTAAGAGCTACCTTCTTATAACTTATATAATGTGATGCTTTGTCTTTCTTATTTATTTATATTCATTCTTTTCTTTTTAAATTCAAAGAATTCTTTTTAAAGCTCAAAGGTAATCTAATATTTTAATTAATTTTTTTATGTAAAATTTTAATTACTTTCTCTAATTTTTCATACTTTATTTTTATTTTTTTCATTAATTACCTATAAAATTGTGGTGTTATTAGCGTTTTGTTTAGCAATTTTTCAACATCACCTACAAGATTATAATAAAATATTAAAAGGTATTTCCCATATTTTATTTTACTCAATCAAAATTATTCAATATTTCTTTTGCCTCGATCATAAATGATTTTAGTTTTATGAAAATGAGAGTTCATATTAATTGAAGAAAATATTATATTTCGAACTATGTATTTTTTTACATAAATTTAAAAGTTATGTTAGAACATGTAATTATACTAATTTTAGTTTTAATTAAAATTTTATATTGGAAGATTATAGGTACGAGTAATATTAGATTATATTTTTTATTATATCTATATTAGTCTAGTAAATAATATTTTTCTGGATTCGCCACTCAATGTAAAGATAAATAATTTAGACATACGACAATGACAATGATAGGTTCATCAGATGATATTTCTAACATTGACATTATTCAAGACTAGAATGAAAAAAAAATGAGAATAATGGACAAAAACTCTTTAAAAAATACCAAGTTTATTAAAAAAGAATCAATTTATTATTCTTATTTCTTTCGGTTTTAAGTCAACGTTAGAGATTTTGGGGCTGTTTGTTTATTTCAGAATGATTAAGTTCTTAATGATTCAATTGCTGAATGATTCAGAGGCTCTGTATGAATTAGCTCTGAATGTGATATGTTGTTTGATAATGACTCTGAATCATTCAGAATGTATTTCTGTGTTGAATCATTTAGCACTGTTTTGCTGAATCAGTCAGCACTGAATCATTCAGAGGTGCGAAACAAACACGCTGAATGTTGAACGATTCAGCATTCAGCGCTGAATGATTCCATGACGAGGCAAACAAACAGCCCTTTGTCTGAAAAATCTATCACATCAATAAATTAGCAAAATACGCCTTTTGAAAATTGTTTTTTTAAAGTAAAACATATTTATCAAAAGAGTGCTAAATATAAATGTTTGTGATTCCATTCATTTAAATAAATACGCCTTTCATTTTAAGTTGATTGGATGAACCCAAGTGTTGATTTGCTGAACGGAGCTGCCATTTGTCGTTGATAATTCGATACATGCAAGCAGTGTATTGTAGGGAAGCTATTGGATGACTCATTTGCAGCGATCTCAGAGGAAGATTTACTCGAATCTCTTAAACAACTACATTAATCAAATTTTGTAGATCCAGGAGGTTTCAACTTCGTTAGTCTGGCATTACTAAAAGGTTAAATCTGAATCTGTTTTTTAGTGTTTGATTTTAAGTTGATTTGTGAAATATGAGCGATTTGTGAAATATGAGCGATCATCGCAACGGGTTTTGGGATGGAACCAAAAATAATTATGGGAGGAACGCTAGTACTTTCTGGAGGAAGGATAACAGTTCGTGGGGAAGGAAAAATACATACCAACAAAAAAGGGAATCACGGCTGCATGTTATACGCTATTTGTTGAAAATATTCCTGAGAATCTTCATTGGAAAAAGCTTAGATCTCTTTTTTGCATCCATGGAAAGGTGATTGATGCTTTCTTCCCTTCTAAAAAATCTATACGGGGTTTCGCTTTGGATTTATCAGATTTGCTACATTTGAAGAAGCCAAGAAAGCAATTGTTATAATGGAAGGCTCTTTCATTTTTTGCCGCAAGATTGGAGTTTCGATGGCAAAATATAAGCTCAGGCAATCCTTCTGGAGAAGAACTAATACATCCTTTCAGCGGAAGGATAGGGAGGTAGCTGACAAGAAGAGATACATATCCTCGATAGAAAGGGTGGTTGATGAAGATAAATTACGTGTTCTGCAAAATTGCCTTGTGTGTTGGTGTAGAAATTTTGTCTCCATCTCGAACCTTGCAAGACAAATGCATGAAAAATGCCTTAAGGGTTTTTCATTGATGAGAGCTACTGGAAATGTTGTCTTAATGTGTTTTAAATCCTCGATGTTACTGAATAGAATGAAGGTAGAAAATTAGGAGTCTCTGGTAGTGTGGTTCGACAGGTTTGAATAATGGTCAAAAAACTTGATAGTTGAGAGTCGGCGTATATGGTTGGTTTGCGAAGGTATTCCTTTTCATTATTGGAGCTGGGATACCTTTACAAACATTGCATCAAAGTGGGAGAAAATTATTGCAATCGATGAAAAGTCCCAATATCCATCGTCCTTTGATCGGGTAAAAATCCAAATCTTCTCAAATATCATCTCCAGAATTGATGAGGTAGTACGATTGAAGGTTGAAGATCAATCGTTTAACGTCCTGGTTCGCGAGATCGATAAGAGTTTCAAGCCTATTCCTTGGGTTCCCGAGGAAGAGGAAGAAGACACGATTGCCCATGACAACGAAGAATCCAAAAATCCAATGTCGATCACGGCTACATTGACCATCTCTAATACTCAAATTGAATTTCCACACAATGGTCGATGTTCCCCTGAGGCTACACCGGGTTCCTCAACACTTGGATTGTTGGAAAACTTGTCGAATCATATTGGGAAAGAAGTTGTACCTGGCGAAGGAAACAATAGTGGTGAGATGTGTTTAGCTTCAAGGCCATGTTCAGTTTTGGAGTCTTCATTACCTTCTACCCTCAATCAATCAGATCAAAACGTTGATGTATCTCATGCCCTGAAAGATGGTCTCAGTAGTGAGGCAATAGGTGATTCTAACCGGTTGTAGGGGAAGGGTCTTCGAAAAGGATCAAAGTTCGGAAAGAAAAAAAAACATCGCGAATAAAAAAATAGCAAGTAAAAGGATGAAGTGGCTTAACTGTCTCAGACGAATATTGGGTTTTAGTCTGATAACGGTTTTGGAAGGAGTTTTTATTTATTAGAGTGTGTTGCTTATCCAATATACAGATGGTTCGCCGTTAGGAGTCGGTTGTGTTTTTATCTTTAAAGATTTATGTATTGCATTCGAATATTTTTGATTTTTAGTGATGTGAGGCTTAGGATAGGTATGAGTGGGTTTCGAATATGGTTGACCTTGTAATATTTGGATGTTTAAGGGGGACTTAGAGATTTTATGGTTTAGATGTGGTGTATATATCTTATTGGGGTGTTTTCATATAAGGTGTAATGGTTATATTATATAATAAATCATGAGGTACTCTTTTTCTCCTTCCAATATTCGTTGGCATACATTTTAGTATGTTGATGATAATGATGGGAGTTTTTAACGAGGTATCTAATTCTTATAAAAAAAATTTAAATGGTGATTAGTGAACTTTAGCCCGAGTACACTCATTAAAGGGTCTTAGGCTTTAGACGAGACTGAGCAAACAGTTAATATGAAAAAGGGTAAAATGACGCATTTCATTGATGCTTAAATAATGCTCATAACATTTCAAGATAACTACATTGCTAGGCACTTCAGAAACTATGCATTGTTAAAAGAACAAAGAGCTCCAAGTGAACTTAGTTATTACTGGAACAAGTGTCGTTGTCCTGCGATGTCGCTCGCCATTCGTCTCTTCAATCAGTTTCTTGATGTTATCTAAATCCTCTTTCTTCCTAATTAAAAGCACTACCACAACTGCAAGAAACAACAGAGTTTTGCAAAAGAAGTTGCCCATTTGATCAACAAGACCTACCCCAGTCAAGCTATCAACAAGATACGCCATGAAGAACCAGACCATCGCGGCCCCGCCTGCACATTACTCACAACAACAAACCATGGTTAAACAGTACAGATTTTCACAATCCATGACATATATACACAAATAGGTTTTCACAAACCATTAAGCAATTCAGCTTCAGGTAGATGGAATCTCTTCATCCATGCCCACCACGGTATGAAGGATGTATCAAACACTACAGGGTCATCATTACTGGTGGTTTCTGGATTATCCTGGAGCCATTTTCTCCTCCTCATCTCTGAGAAAAGAAAATTGTTACAAACAAAAAGGTATCACAAATAAATTAGAAAGCACCGATGGAAGTTTCAGAAAGTAAAATCTTACCAGCATCAATAACAGCATCCCAGTCAGTGGTACCATCTTTCTTAAACTGTTTCAAGTCCCAAGTTCCCCAATCCATCTAGGGTCCTCAAACTTGCTTAAAACCTCAACTTCTGCAGCAGAGGTCATGCTCGTAGCCGATCCGTTAGACCCAGAAGAGATTTCCACGGCGTTTTCAACGGCGGCAGCTGAAGCTGAAACACCGGCGCCATTTTCCGATGAAGACTTGGGAGTAGCCAGTAGAATAAAGGGTCTGTTGAGAGGGAGAGAAGGCGTCGAACTCTGGGTGAAATGGGGTTGGCAGAGAAAGATGGAAGAGGAGAAAAGGAAGCCATGGACATTGACATGGATTTATTTTATTCAGTGTTGTTTTTTAATGGAATCATGTGGTTTGGGTTTTTGACGAAAAGGATGAGCTTTTTCTCTTTTGGGTTTTTCACCTTCAATTGTTATTATCGATTATTTTAGTTTATTTTTTATTTCTTAAATTTGATGTTTAAGTGTTTAATTGATAAATTTTCTTTGATTTACAATATTTTTCATCCCCAAAAATTTACTTTTCATATTTAATTTTGGGTTTTTGGTTTTTTATTAATAATTGTATATATTTGAATTCTTTTTCTAACTAACAAATGATAATTTATTTTTGTATCAAAACATACAATTATTTATAAAAAAAATTAATATGTGCAATTTTATTATAAAAATTGTTGATCCCTTTTGCCATGGAAGTTGCGAACTTGAAGCCGTCGCTTGCTTGGAAGCTAAATCAAATGGGGCTCAGCTCCATCCATCTTGCTTTGCAGCATGAGTGCATCAAAATGGTGAGAGGGCTAATCACACTCAACGCTCAGCTTATCCGAGTGAAGGCAAAAGGGATGGTCACACCTTTACATTATGTAGCACAGATTGAAGATCCTGATCTTTTAGCTGAATTTTTATCTGCTTGTCCATCGTCTATTGAAGACACCACGGTTCACTGCGAGACCGCCGTGCATGTCGCTATTCGAAACTGCTCGATTCGATGTTTCAGAGTTCTTGTTGGATGGCTTCGACGAGTCGACAAAGACGACGTTTTGAACTGGAAAGATGAAGAGGGTAACACTGCTCTGCACATTGCTGTATCTTCTAGTCAAACTGAGGCAAGCTTTGATTGTTTGCCGTAAACTAATGATTTCACTACATGATTATTGTTAATTAGTTAATTAAAGTTTGTTTTTTGATCATGAAGATGGTGAAGCTGTTGGTTAAGAATGTCAACGTGAACGTGAAGAACATCGATGGTTTAACAGCTATGGATATATTTCACCTTCAAGGATCATTGCAGAACCCTGAAATAGGTAAGATTCTACATAAGGCTAAAGCAGAAAGATCATCTGATCTTAACTCAAACATGACTCTGGGGGATTACTTCAGCAAGGAACTCAGTCTGATCGATATACGAGACAAATATTTCGGGACCAACACCCGAAATAAACACAACGATATCCGTAGTGTGCTTCTTGTGGTGGCTGTACTGATTGCAACAGCCAGCTACCAGGCTGGACTTAGCCCTCCTTGTGGGTATTGGCAAGACGATTATATCCCACCGGAAAACAACAGCACCAACAACGCCAACAGTACAGGCCTTGGACAAGGGCAAAGGGCACACCGTGCAGGACAAATGATAATGAGCCCTGCCATTCTTTTCTATTTCCTTACCCTCAACGGTTTAGCTTTTCATCTGTCAGTGTGGACGATTCTGGTTATTATAATCGGCCTCCCATTTTCGGGAACTCTTTATACATCAACATCTCTTCTTATGTATGCTTATTATGCTTCCATGGTGGCTGCCTTTCCGACGCAAGGAAGCGTGGCTTTAACCGCTGCAAGGGCTTTGTTCGTAGCCTTGACAATCACATCCACAGTGGCAGTATACTTAATTCCTTGGGTGACATTTTCTAAACACCAAAAGCTTAAACGTCTGGTCGACACAATGAGAGGAAGCAGGGTACTCGTCTGTCCCGAAAACTAATGCAGGGTATTTGCTTTTATGTTCTTATTTTCATTGCTACTTGAAAGCATGAATCTTTCCCCAGTTGTTTCATTGCTACTTGAAAGCATGAATCTTTCCCCAGTTGTTTGCACGTCAATGAGCCTTTCAAAGTTATTTTTCTTGGAAAGAAAAGTCGGTCAATACCTTTTTTTAGTACAAAAGTCAAGTTAATATTAACAACAATCCAATTGACTCAACCATGCTGACGCTTTATGCATTACGCTACAAGCAATTGCATCAGATATAGCCACCTGCACTGCCGATCCTTGTTATAAGAAGCTAACAAGAAACAGACTGGTTAGCTTCATTGTGAAAGTTTTACCTCATCGGTTCCCAGTGGATGAACAGTTACGAATGGCAGCTGAAAATGGAGTCGTATATGCATTATACGTAACTCTCCCCCATGATCCCAATATTTTAGCCGTATCGATCGTATACCGATCGTCGATACTCAATTGCACGATGCTGCCGTTGCAGGAAAGCCTCATTTCGCCATGGTAGTGAACTTGAAACCGTCGCTTGGTTGGAAGCTAAATTACATGGGGCTCAGCCCTATCCATCTTGCTTTGCAACATCAATGCATCAAAATGGTGAGACGGCTAATCACACTCAACGCTCAGCTTATCCGAGTGAAAGCGAAAGGGATGATTACGCCTTTACACTATTTGGCACAGATTGAAGATCCTGTTCTTTTTGCTGAATTTTTATCTGTTTGTCCATCATCTATTGAAGACACCACGGTTCACTGCGAGACCGCCGTGCATGTTGCTATTCGAAACCACTCGATTAGATGTTTCAAAGTCCTTGTGGGATGGCTTCGACGAGTCAACAAAGAAGATGTACTGAACTGGAAAGATGAAGATGGTAACACTGCACTGCATATTGCTATATCTACTAGTACTAATCAGACAGAGGCAAGCTTTAATATTTGCTGTAAAGTAATGATTTCATTACATGATTATCGTTAATTAATTAATTAAACTTTGTTTTGATCGTGAAGGTGGTGAAGATGTTGGTTTAGACTGTCAACGTGAACGTGAATAACTTCAATGGTTTAACAGCAATGGATGTATTTCACCTTCAAGGATCACTGCAGAACCCTGAAATTGGTACTGTTACATATTGACTTTCATTTTAGTACAATTTATTTCATATTAACATTGTGTTAATCATCCTAGGTAAGATTCTACATAAGGCCAAGGCAAAAAAAGCATCTGATCTCACCTCAAACATGACACTGGGGGACTACTTCAGCAAGGAACTCACCCTGATCGATAAACGAGACAAATACTTCGGAATCATCACCGGAAATAAACACAACGACATCCGCAGCGTACCTCTCGTGGTGGCTGTACTGATTGCAACAGCCAGCTACCAAGCCGGACTTAGCCCTCCAAGTGGGTACTGGCAAGATGATTATATCCCACCGGCAAACAACGCCACCAACAACACCAACAGCACCACCGGCCTCGGGCAAGGGCAAAGGGCACACCGTGCAGGAGAAATGATAATGAGCCCTTCTAATCTGTTCTACTTCTTCACTCTCAACAGTCTAGCTTTTCATCTGTCGGTGTGGACGATTCTGGTTATTATAATAGGCCTTCCATTTTCAGGAGCTCTTTATACGTCAACATCTCTTCTTCTGTACGCTTATTATGCTTCCATGCAGGCTACCATCCCGACGCAGGGAAGCGTGGGTTTAACTGTTGGAAGGGCATTGTACATATCGGTAACTGTGATATCCACAGTGGCGGCGTACTTAACTCCTTCGGTTGCGTTTTCAAAGCACCAGAAGCTTCAACGTCGGGTGGATGCAATGAGAGGGAGCAGGGTAGTTGCCTCTCCCGAAAACTAAAGCAGGGTATTTGGTTTTGTGGTGTTTTAGAATTTGAATTCCTTGTAAGAATTATCCATGTACAACATAACTACTACGCTACTTGTTTGGTTTTTGTAGTTGTCTTGTTAGTTGAGACTCTCTGTGTCCATATGATCAGTTCCTTCAATTTTGACTCCATATATCTAAATTTAATTTGAGAGCTCAAAGCATGAAAAATTAATATGATAACAAATAAATTATCTTTATCGATTGTGATGATGTTAAATTTGATCTTAAAAAAACATGTCATAAAAGTAAAGTTATTAAAAATTAAAAGAAATAACGACAAAATATAGATATAAGAAAATAAAAGAAAAACAAAAATATATTGACGTCGACGATCAACACCAAGATTAATGTTGTCGCCTATCAATTAAAGAAGAAAAAGAAATAAGTTTTAGGGTTGAGAGAAAAACTTTTAAAATTTATATTGTGCATAGTAAAAATTTTAAGTTCACACGTATAATTTAAATATTTTTTATATTTTTTATTAATAATTTAATTTCACTTCCTTAAAATTTTGTACTTTCGCATTCTTAAAACCCCTATGTATTTACTTATTAATCTATATTCTAAAATTTATCATTGATGTCACTTTTTCAACTAGTCTATCAATCATTTTACTCTTTTTTTAGTTTTTTTATTAATGTATGATAAGTATAAGGTAGTATCTATTCAAAGATAATTTTCAATCATTTGATATTAGTCATATTTTCATTTAACATTCATGATGCTCGAACCCGAAACTTCAAAAAATAAAAAGAGTTCATAAAAGTTGAGAGTCTGCCTACTAAACGACAACGTTTGTGATGAAAAAAATTGAAGAGAAATACATGGCTTAAATATAAAATAAGTGCACAAATTATACTGTTTTTCACGAATATATGTCTAAAATATTTTTTATTCATCTCGGTGTTTAATGTTACAAACGTTTCCATTTTAAGTGTCCAACCATCAACGACTTTAATTTCTTCTGTTAAGTTACATGTCTCACAATCTGATAATTAAAATTTATATTTTTAAAATATTAAAAATATTATTATATTTATAAAAAACACTAATTTCTCTTAAATTATAAAAAAAATCCCCCAAATCTCTAAAATCTCCAAATTCTAACCTTAACCTGCCATCACAACCATTTTCGACCACGACCACTGTCGTCGATGTAGTCCCTGTCATCCTCTTAATCATACATCATTGCCACCTTTTTCGGCCACGACCGCTGTTGCCAATATAGTTCATGCCATCCTCCTAATCATACTCTGATGTAGTCCATGTCATCCTCCTAGTCATACGTCGCCTAGTTGTCGTTGATTGGTTGTTGGAATCTCGTGAGATCGCGATTTTAATCATTGGATTTGTGGGGTATAAAACGTCGATTGGTCACGATTTCATAGGGGTTTTAGTCTTTGGGGAGGTGAGGTTGGGTAGAGTTTAGTCGATGGCAAAGGATGACAGTCGATGTGTGTTTAGGGGTTGAAATGAAGGTTTCTAAAGTTTTGGTATTATTTCAAAATTTTATATTTTTTAAATATATCTAATTTTAATTTTAAATATATTTTTTTAAAGTTATCAAATTATAACATGTATCACTCAACGAAAAAATTAAGACAATTGACAACCCAAACACTTAAAATAACAACAATTGTAATTTTAGATACCAAAATAAGTAAAAAAAAACTTCAAACATCCATCCTTGAAATGTTATACGGTTTGAGCACTTATTTTATTTTATATTTAATCCTAAGGGAAAACGTTTCGGGCTAACCCGAACCTTTTATGGATTCCGTATCGGATTTGATCCGGATATCATTCTCTAACTTCAACTATTCTCTCACAGTCGTCCAAAAACACACTGTTCCGTTTTCTGCAAGCACTATAGCCCTCAATGGAGGTCGCAGCAGCAGCCGCTTCAAGTTTCTCCGTCCAGGCGCACATGTTGTCACCACCAACCGCCGCTCGAATCGTAAGCCCTAACCGAACCCTAACATCTCCTACGTCGACTTCCCTCCGAGCTTCTCTCTCCACCAATTTCCTCTCTCCCCTTCCCGCCTTCGGCAGCGTCGCTGGAGATTTCTCCGGATTCAAGCTACGACCCGATGCTCTCAACCCAGCCTCTCTCTCCCGGTCCAAGCCCAAACGTGGAGTCGTCACCATGGTACTTTCAAATCATTTTAATTTCATCTAAATTTCATTACTTTACCAGTTTACTTGCCTAGGGGGTGTTTATTGGTAGTGAAGTAGGCAACTTTTATTTTATGTGAATGCTGAAAATTATCATTAATACTAATCTGAGTTCCTTTTTTTTAATTTGGAGTATCATATGACAGTTGAGTTGCCCTATCTAATAATAAGTTCGATAAATTATGTGATTAGACAAGAGTGCAACTGAATAAATTCATTTTGTTTTTGTGTTTTCCTGAAATTTTGTGGATAGGTTATTCCGTTTTCGAGGGGAAGTGCATGGGAGCAACCTCCACCGGATTTGGCATCGTATTTATACAAGAATCGGATTGTTTACTTGGGAATGTCGCTGGTTCCTTCTGTCACAGAGTTGATACTGGCTGAGTTTCTTTACCTTCAGTATGAAGATGAGCAGAAGCCTATTTACTTGTATATAAACTCCACTGGAACAACCAAGGTATGATTTTGATACTGGAAATTGAACATGTTCTAGGGCCATAAATGTAGTATTTTCTGTGATTATTGGCATTGTAATTTGCATTGGATTCTAAATGAATGCCAAAAAATGCGAAGTTACGCCTAGATTTTCTTTTGCATTATTAAGATACTAAATTGTTGCATTTATTTGCTTCCTTCTTCTAACATTATTAATAGGATATTTCACTATTTTCAGGGTGGTGAGAAGCTAGGTTATGAGACTGAGGCTCTTGCAATTTATGATGTTATGGGGTAATCACACTTTTTGCTTTTTAACTCACGAGTTGTTTCAGAATTGGCTTGTTTCATGAGCTGCACAAAGTATGTTTGAATGATCTGAATTATCTTCCTGGATTCGGTGTGCTAGTTTCAATGTCAAACCCCAGCTGCATCTACTACTGATAAATAGTGAATGCATCATTCTTTGTGAATGATGATAAGGTCTTTTTTACCTTCTACGTTTCTATAGCAATATTTTCATTCAGTCGTAATGAGTCCTAGCTACTTGTGGATTTTTCTTCTTTCTAGAAACCAAGTAGATACTACCTGTCTTAAGCTTGGAGCATTTATGAATGTATAACATTCTACAAACCACTGTACATCCTTGTCGTTCCTAGCTTTAATTTTTGTGTTTGTAAATACTATCTTTTGCTGCAGGTATGTTAAGCCTCCTATTTTCACTCTCTGTGTTGGAAATGCTTGGGGTGAAGCTGCATTACTTTTAGCTGCTGGTGCAACAGGAAACCGTTCTGCTCTTCCTTCATCTACAATAATGATAAGACAGGTTGGTTGTCGGACATTGGATCTCTGATGCCCTAAACTATCAATTTCTTCAAATATGTTGGATGCAGTTGACATAAATGTTTAATATTCATTACTTTTCCCTCTACTCTATCACTTTGCAGCCAATTGCTAGATTTCAAGGTCAGGCAACAGATGTTGATCTTGCAAGAAAGGAAGTTAAGAATGTGAAAACAGAGTTGGTAAGGAAATAATCTACTTAGTTGAGGATTCTGATTATACACCAAACTTACATTTAGAAACTCCATGGTCCTGTCTAAACATCTTTCGGTTTGATTGCTAAACTGTAGAGTGTATATATTGGTTATTACACATTAAAACTGACCTTACAATATTTGCTGGTGGATTTGCTTCCAAATTTGGGCTAATAGAACTGCATGCTTTTTATATGCTTCATACTCAAGGTTAAGCTCTATGCGAAACACATGGGAAAATCAACTGAGCAGATTGAGGAAGATATAAGGCGCCCGAAATATTTTAGCCCCAGTGAAGCAGTTGAATATGGCATCATAGATAAGGTCTTTTACTAGGAAGTAGTTATTTGTTCTGTACTAATTTTCATGCATTTCTGAACTTACATTTTCCCAATTATATTCGGCAGGTATTATACAATGAAAGGGGTTCTGAAGACCGTGGTGTTGTTTCTGACCTTAAAAAGGCACAACTTATCTGACCATAGGAGAACTTGTATCTTTATTAAATTTGCTCAGGTAAAAACTATGTTTTCGCTTGAATTGTATGATTCATTACATTGCATGTTTCATGTTCTAGACATCCATAGATATCATGATGTAGCTGTGTTTGTTATTTTGTGTGAAAACAGTACCTCGAAAATGAAATGATTTGCTGGGTTTGATTAATAAACTGCGGAGGACAAAAGAGGAATAAATATTGATTTCTTCTCATTTATAATAGCTTCTCTAATATGTTTCATGCTGAAGTATACATAGACTGAGTTGAAGGGTAACAAGAGAAGCTGAGAACTGTGTGAGCTTTGTCGGGGAGCAATAGCCAAACAAAGCCGTGTGGGAATGGGAGTCATGGTCATCATGGATGTGCTGTCACATCCTTTTGTAGCATAAATTAAATTCAATAAATCATGCTTGTAGTTGTTTTAACACAAATTATTTGCAAATGAAGTTTTGTTTTGTTTTAAATCACCCCGATTATTAGCTTAGGTCAGGAACCTATCAAGGTAAAATCACCATGAACCGAGTCCACATCAATGTGATTGACAAATGAAGCAAGCTAAAATAGTTTATGCACGTCCTAATGCAGCCTACCAGTGCACCTTGAAGAGCCACAGTAGCAACTTTTTTACATCATTTTCATCATAAACCTGATCTACCATATAATTGTAATGGTTAGGGGTGGGCAGGATTTAAGTCGATGCTAAAAAAACTTGACTTTCAAATTTGAGTCGAGTTATAAAATAGAATTTGAATAATTCAATTTTTTTTAGTAATTAATAGATTAATTTTCAAGTTTGAGTTGAGTCACTCAATTTTGCACGCTAC